CTGTACTGTGCTCAGCCTCCAAAACATGCCACGATGGTCTTATCTGAAGTCAGTCTATGAGCACCATCAACTTGGCTTGGACAATTTATAGGTGCGAGGATGGAGGAAGAAGGTAAGAGTGCCAATTTTGCTTGCTTCAAGCCGAAAAAAAACATTTTAAAACTATTGAGACACATTAAGAGTTGCTGTATGGAAGGGGAAGAGGAATCATGGTTCCCTGTGTCTAATGAAAAGTCGCAATAATCTTTTTTTATATGGCCTTTTCCACAATCTCACGTGAGGCTCAAGAGCACTTCATGTATAATTACTGATCAGCCGGTGTGTGGACGGCGTAGAGTTTGTTATGGCTAATCTGCATTCATTGTGAAGCTAGTTCACGTTAACAAACGATACGCACAGAAAGATAGGGCAAGATGGAGGCTGCGCAAGTCTGAGGTGCTTAAAAAATTCACCTTCTAGCGCTCGCTGTTCACTTTCGGCAATAATGGTGGTCCTCGTCACCTAGTACATGCGAACTATCGGATGAGCTATGGGTGCGGCTACTCCGAACTGAAATCTAATTTTTTTGAACGGAGGCTTCCGAAAAAACGATTTCGTCCTACCCTAGCAAACTTGGCAGAACATCCCGCAACTGAAGACTAAGGTTTAGCCCACCTCACGCTGTTCAGCCTGACTGCCACACATTTTACAGCAAGTCCATATAATTAACAAGAGACCGTGATACGACTTCTAGGCCCTCACTATGTGTATTCCCGGAAATGACGGCTGACGTAGGCTTTAAACTTAGAAAATTCACACACTTCGGTCATTGTCAGAAAGTATAAATAGGTATAAAACTGTAATAGTGGCGAAACTTCGAGTCCCAGGTGGTAAGTCAGAAAGAGAATGGGCGTCCACCGGGAGAGGTTTATTTGTGATCTGACGTTTCGGATAGTTATCTCGTCTATCCATCTCCAGAGAGTGAATACTCTGGCTCCTGGCTCTCGTTATATGCCGCTCCTTTCGTATAAAACTGCTACAACTCTTGCTCTGAATTTCACTTGGCTCCAAATGCCACAACATGGTAGTTATCGAATAAATTTGTAGGAGATGCGACCAACAAATTACCAAAAAACAAATTGTGTTAACTGGCGAAAGCAAGCTTCTTCACATTTTACTGTTAATTGCTATTTTTTAATTTTTTTTTCATGGGCTACCACCAAGCACCCTAAAATTTCGTAACATCCGGCGTGCTAACGGCTGCAAACTGCATAAAGTTAACGAAAAAATCCTACCTGCCTCGACGCAAAATCCAAAAAGTCCGTTGAAATCTGCCTAACGCAGTCCTCCTATTCACCCACAGTTTTAATGTTGTTCACGTAAGTACGTTTAGAGTGGCTATGAGTAATTCATATAAAGTGATAATATTCACCAGTTAATTTAGTGCAAAACTGCAGTTTGAGCGAAGTACTGTTTTCATCTCGTATCCCAGACCTCGAGTTTAATCAGACTTTATTTCGAATCTCACTCTAATTACTACTTTCAAACAATCAAGTCCACAGCAGGGGGGGGGTCATTTATCAAAGTTTTGCTTTTAGCCAATGTAGGTGACATCCGGGAAGCTCCTAAAAGGGCCAAATACTCGAGGGTACCCAACGTTTCCTTATGTGTGAGTTTAGCTGGATCCAACCAGCAGACCCGTTGTAATCCACAACGGCATAACTGAACCTGCTATTCAATTTTTTCCTACTTGCTTTTTTTTGCCACAAACTTTTCCGTTGTCCAGCTAGGGCAATACTTGCTGAAACGCAGACTTCCTCGTGGAAAAAGGACAGGATAGAAAGGCCTGAGCTATATCTTCGAAAAGTAAGAGCATCTCTGCAGGAAGTAGCTGAGAATTTAATATTAAAAATAAAGTAGGTAAAGAGCTTGACTCTTAAAACACGAGCAAGTATAAACAAGTAAGTACATCAGGAATATAACTGGCCACAACTGATGAATAATTTCTCAGTGGCGTATGGTGACCTCCTATTAACCCTGTACTATTTTGGGTCGAGTGTTTGCTTAATTTTGAAAAAAATTAAGGTTCCCCTCTTGGACCTGTCCCCCGAATCTAACATCCAATCTACGGAAGCGCAGACTAAGCAGCAAACATGGTATAGCAATTCAAACTCACCGGGAAATTCGGAAGTTCGTCCTTTCCGAAGTTGTGTGGGAATGTAAGTGGCGATTTCTCCTCCTGTTTGACTCCCGGTCCACGCGAGGGTCGAAAATGAGGGCCGAATAAACTGTTAGGTTGATTTGGCCTGTTGTAGCTCAGTCGACAGGTCTCCGAACCATTTTTCCTCCGGCCGTTAATTGGGCCACCGCCACCACCAGTACCCGCAGCCCCGGAGTTGACAGAACTGATCCTAGCGCGCTGCTGTTCTTCACGCTGTGCAATATCACCGTGACGACTCTTCAGATGGTTCAACATGGTGGTTGTAGTGCCAGAAGCATTGAATGCCAGCTGACTCTTGCATACCAAACACTGAGTTCGGGTCCGATCGATATTGCCGGACTCGCCCTCGGGGTGTTTGAAGTAATTCCACACAAAGGACTTTTTGTTGCCGGGTTTTGAGCTGGAATTGGAAAGGCGAGACTTTCCTCCACCGCCGCCACCACCGCCGTCGGAAGGATTTGGTCGTCCACCATTCATCGCAGCACTGCCATCATTAGCCCCGAAGGCGCTGGCAGCCTTTCCTTTTGGCGTTGATGTGGC